TCTCTCCCCTCTTCCCCTCTCTCTCTCGTCCTCTCTCTCTCTCTCTCTCTCTCTCTCTCTCTCTCTCTCTACCCAACCTTCATACGTACGCATAGTTCGCTATTACCTGACAGCCATGTACATGCGCGTGTACAACACAAACAAATTCAAATTCAAATTCAAATTCAAATTTCAATAAACAAACGCCGTATGACTCATGATCACACACAGTCAACGACAGTCCACACACAGACGGTGCGGTTACGGTACGTAGTATTACGATCTCTCTCTATCGTAGACCCACAACCTCACAGCCGCGTCATCACGCAGTCCCCGCCAGCTCCCTTAAATTAATACTATGTACTGTATCCTTCAGTCATTGCTTAAAGCAACTATAGTCCAATCTTAGTTATGTCATTGCTATAGTACATAATCATACTCCAAACTAGAGGCATTGTTACAGGCCTACCATGAAATATATGGGCTAACAATCAAATTGCTTGGATATTTGATTGCAGCGTATAGTGGATAGCGTATAGCGTATAGTACTAATACCTGGATATAGTTACGGAAGTATGGAAACTATAATGCATGGGTAGTTATAAAGTATTGTAACTAATGCCTGGGTAGTCGAAGGGTATTGTAACAAGAGTTAGGATAGTTAGAAGGTATAGAAACTATTTCTAAGGTAGTTAAAGGTATTCTAACTAGTGCTAGGGTCGTTGAAAGGTATAGTAGCTAATGCTTGCAGTAACCAAACACCGCGTCCGTAGAACCTATAGCAATACGATAGTTAATTGAAAGTTAAAGTAATTAGTCACATATGTGGTTGAAGGCTGATAATGATGAAGAATAGGTTAGATGAAGTTTAATATAATGATAAGATAGCATGCAGCCAGCATTAGAGCTGCAAACCGGACAGTTCTTAGTCTTAGTGTGTTAACCACATCAAGATTCTGCTAGCTCTCTAGTGAGTGCGACACGACGCACCGTTGCGTATATGGTATAGTTATATATCGTATAGTTTAGCACATTATTCCTAGTGCTAACCACGCTACTAAATTTCAATATATATATATATATATTCTTTATATTTCCATCGACATTTCTATACATGAGCGAGCAGGCAGTTATATATGTATATAGTATTATAATAATATATTATAGTATCACGAGTAAATAATAATAGATCCATTACTATTCACTCTGGATAGTATAATATAGTATAATTATATATATATATATATATATGCAGCAGTATAATATTTTAATTTTAATTTTAAATATTAAGTTAAGTAATTATAATAATATATAGTTAAGTTAAGTATAATATGGGATAGTTAGTGTGTATACGCACCTCTACAGGCGGAGTGATAGTCATCGCAGCAGTCTTCTAGCTTCACGCAATGCTCGTCGCAGTAGCACCTGTCCTCGTCGACCGGATCTTCCGGTACAAAGTTCAGCGGATAGCTCTGTACGACGCAGTCGGCGTTGCGTCCGGGACAACACAGACCTGCGTCGCCGCAGCCTGCGTCAGCCGGCGCGACGCAACAGAGCGACGCAGCGAGCGACGCGAGAACGATACGCAACAACATATTGACGCTCTTGTTGTTGTTGATGTTGTTGTTGTTGTTGTTGTTGTTGTTGTTGTTGTTGTTGTTGTTGTTGTTGTTATTGTTTTGGTGGAAGCACAACGCGGCGCGCTCTACCTTACGGGTAGCAAGCAACAATAGGTGGGATATGCGAGACTGATTCAAGCAGGTATGCGCTGCTTTCCTATCGGCTGCTACTGTTGCTACTGCCGCTACTGCTGCCGCTGCTCGCGTCTGCTACTGCTGCCCTGCCGCTGCGTTCGCGCGTCTGCTCCTGTTACAAGCTGTCGGCTGCTGGTATTACGGCTCAAGACCTGTCAATCACCCAGCAGCGAGCAGCGGCATTGGTCATACGGCCACCAATCACGGGGATGCGGGGAAGAAAGGGGGCGGTCTGTAGATGAGAGGGGGGGCGAGCTGCTCTGAAAAGGAGATAAGTTAGTTATATGGCATAGGGAGCGGTTGCGATCTAGGTATAATAAAGAGAGGGAGTGAGACAAAGAGGGAGAGAGGGTGTGTGTGTGTGAGAGAAAGAGAGAGAGAGAGAGAGAGAGAGAGATAGATAGATAGATAGATAGATAGATAGATAGATAGATAGATAGATAGATAGATAGATAGATAGATAGACAGACAGACAGATAGATAGATAGATAGATAGATAGATAGATAGATAGATAGATAGATAGATAGATAGATAGATTAGATCATAGATAGAATGACGGTGGGAAAGAGCCGAGAGAGAGAGGGAGAGAGAGTAGAGAAGAAAGATGAGAGAGACGAGAGAGAGCAGAAGCGGTTGGTGTGTGTGTGTGTGTGTGGTGCGTGTGTGTGGTGTGTGCGTGTGTGGTGGTGTGTGTGCTGGTTGTGGTGTGCGTGTGTGGTGTGGTGTGTGTGGTCGTGTGTGTGGTGTGGTGTGGTGTGGTGTGGTGTTGTGTGTGTGCGAGGGTGTGTGTTGTGCGCGCGAGCCGCCGTGTGTGTGTGTGTGTGGTGCGGGAGGTGTGTGCTGTGTCTGGCGGCGGCGATGTGTGTGTGTGTGTGTGTGTGAGTGTATCAATAGTAAAACAGCTGTTGAAGTATCGAGTCTGGGTCATCATGTTGCACTTAAGAGTAAGGCCAAATAAACTCAGCAGGGATGTACTGACGATACCGTAATCAAGCACGCGTGTTGTGGCAACGTATCGCCCCAGCAGACGATCCGCGCGGTGGCGCTCGCGTCGGATGTTGGTTGAGAGCTGAGCAAGGTGTGATGTCGCGGTGTTGTTAGTTGTGCGGTAGCAAACTCCACGACAGATGGCGCTCTCGCTCATGAAGGAAGCGTTGCATGCAGTTTGGTGCGGTAGTTGTTCAGCTTCTTAATTCGTACGGTGCTGGGGCTTTAATTCATCGGTGGCTACCCTCACGCTGACTATATACACATATGGCGGTCAATATAGAATATATGACGGCTCGTGGGCGAGAGATAAGCGCGTGCGTGTGCCTGCGCGCGTGTGCGTGCGGTTGTGTGTGCGTTTGTGCATGCATGTGTGCGTGTGTGTGTGTGTGCGCGTGTGCGTGCGTTTGTGCGCGCATGTGTGCGTGCTGTGCGTGCGTTTGTGCGTGTATCTCTGTGTGTACACGTGCGTGTGTTTGTACGTGCGTGTGTTTGCCTGCGCGCGTGTGTATTTGCATCGTTGATTCATAATTTATGGATTTATTGCTAATGTAACTGATACTGTTGTATTTTTAACCTTGACTGCGTGACGGTCTATGGAGGAACGTAATGATACCGACATGGAGGAAATAATAGATTAGCATAATTTATGCTAATCTCTAATTTGAATTCCCCACGTTCATACTTATATATGCTAACAAGTTGGGAGTTATATATGCTAACAAGTTGGGAGAATATACTGGTGCAACAGCGAGAATTTCTTTCGCAATCTAGATGGGTTTGCATGAAAACATAAAAAAGGAACAACCAGATCTGACCATGAAATACGTGTCGAAAAATAGTTTCCTAGACGTAAAACTACACAAGTAATGTCAGAGCACGTATATCATAGGATAGACGTGCTCTGGTAATGTAGCATACATGTCGCCATCTATTGGCTGATTTAAATTTATTATTGCACGTCAGTCACAGCATTCTATCATTATTAAAGAGAGGGTGGTGATTTATTTTTCATAGTAAGAAACTGTGAAGAATATTTTATATCCATTTTGAAAGCATAATTTTATCGAAATACTATTTAATTCACTAAATGCAGGCTGCTGTACATACAGCTACATAAATCATGTAGCATACACACCGCCATCTGTTGGCTGATTATAATTTATTATTGTTACACCATCAGGACTTATTACTATCTTACTACTATACAGTCAATGCTAAATATACACGCTTATCAGAGCTACATATATACACGTTCATTCTAGGCCAATATATCGGAATAAATATTGAAAAAAATTCTTCAATACACTTAAACATATTTTTTTTATTCATATACTTTATATTTTTTACACATTTTACTATATTTTTTTAGATTTAGCTAAATATTTTATATTTTTTTATATACTTTGCATTTTTAACTATCTTAACCGTTATCAAATATAGGATATGTTCACTTAATTATCGCGTAGAGTAAAGTATAGATTAGATTTAGAAGATTTTCATTTTCACCATTAGAGCTACTAAGCGTAATGACATAGCATGTACGCATGAACGCATTCTATCTAACCTTATTACTGCACATACATCTAACACATTAATACTAACGTAATCTATGGTGATTGTTATCTAACACAAGATTTACTTAAGCTATGCTGCTTCAATCTAATACAACAACATTCACTCAACATATATGCTGCTTTCATCTAATACAAGATTTACTTAAGATATGCTGCTTCAATCTAATACAACAACATTCACTCAACATATATGCTGCTTCAATCTAATACAACAACATTCACTCAACATATATGCTGCTTCAATCTAATACAACAACATTCACTCAACATATATGCTGTTTAAATCTAATACAAGATTTACTTAAGATATGCTGC